TAGATGCCTACAACATCTGAAGTAATTTTAAGAAAACTTCAGTGAGTTTCAAAAATGAATACAAACCTAACAGTTTCATAGTTTCAAATAGCTTTTCTATCTTTTGGTCAATAAATTATAAGAATTTTTTTTATCTTTTTGTTCAGTTTTTATTTACAGGAAAGTACATGTAAGTGGTGGTCATTTTTATAACTAACAGTATAAGCAAGAGCAGGGGCGGGGCGGGGGATGGGGAAAGAGGGGAGAGCAAGCATCCTGAAGGGGGAGCGGAGGGGGGGCAAAATAATACAAGGATTTTATTTAGCAGTTCACCCTGTTTTGAGGCAGGACTAGCAAAGAACCAATCGCCTCTAAGAGCAACAAAAAAGCTCATCTTGAATGCCAGTCCCTGGGTACCAAGCAGGCAGTACAAGGCCCAGACACAAGAGATTAAAGGGGACTTTGAGCTCTCGATTTGCCCCAAAGATGCTTTTCTCAACCCATTAACTCTCATTTTGTCTGACACCCAAGAATGTTTCCCCAGTCTGTCCCCAGAGATGTAAAAAGGGCAAAGACGGCAGACAAGCACCGTTCCATAACCCCAAAGCTGGGCTCTAACAAAAAGAACACAAACAGTTGCCATGAGGCCGATTCTGGCTCACAGCAACCCCTCATGTAACAGGACTGTGCTTCCCAGGGCTTGCAACAGCTTCTCTTTTGAAAGACCACCTGTCTTCTGAGGTGCCTCTGGATGGACTCAAACTGCCAACCTTTGAATCAAGTGTTTAGAAGTCTGTGCCACTCAGCGTCTCTGAACTCATCTTAATCTCCACCAAATCCAGCCCAGTTCTTTGGCCCTGGAATTTCTGAGATATGAGTACTCAGAGCAGAGGGAAAGATTTAAGCTTTGTTGTTTTTATTTGCAGTCATGTCAGAACTGAGTCATGGCTGACCCTCCAGTGGGCTTTCAGAAGCAGTCTAATGGCCAGGGAGGAGATTGCCCATGCTTCTCCTGCAAAGTAGGTAGTGATTTCAAAATGTGTGTCTTTAGGATTGCAGCACAGCTTCTTTCCTCTAGGCCATGAAAACCCTAAAATTTGACAAAATTTTGAAAATACTACAGACTTTTCTTCCTTTTTATATTTTTACTATATAGCATTCATGAAATATGTTCAGTGTTAAATTCAACACTTAAAATTTTATTCATTTTAGCTCTCCATCACAAAATATTAAAATGATAGATGGCTATTTTAGATTTAACAGGTCTGCTTTGAGGAAGTGCAAACATGTTGCTGTTTAGAGGCAAGAATGGTGAATTTGTCCCATGTCCTTAGGCCATGTTGTTAGGAGGGGCCTGTTCTTGGGAAAAGACATCATACAGGGAAAGATGGAGGGTCAGGGAATGAGAGGAAAACCCTCAAAAAGGTGGTTTGATATAGTGACTTTAACAGTGGATGCAAGCATGTCAGAAATGGTGAAAATGAGGCAAGATAGGGCATAGTTCTACTCTGTTGTTCATAGGGTTGTTAGGAGTCTTAATCGACTTGACAACACATAATAACAACATAGGAAAACTGGGGAGCTCTGGTGGTGTAGACTGTAGGAAGTTGTGCTGTTAACTCAAAGGTGACACCATTCTGGCAGTTTGAATGTACTAAGCAACTCTGAGGAATGAAAATGGGCAATCATCTTCTGAGTGATTTTCAGCTTCAGAAACTCACTGGAGAGTCAACTATGAGTTGATACCAACTTGACAGCAGTTTGTAAGTGAGTATATGTGAGTCATTATGTTACCTAAATGCTTCAGAATACAGGTAAAATTTCTGTGGCTTTTTTTTAACTGTGGAGAACATTATGCTGAGTGAAATATCTCAGCCACAGAAGGGCAAATCCTCCATAGCATCACTGTTATAAAACAGGACTGACATAAAGCTTGGGGGAAAACTAAGAAAAGAAGGAATAAATAATGAACATTGCATTGGAACTGATGAAAGGAAGAACTTTTTAAAAGGAATAGATGATTAGGCATTACCTGTCTTACAGCAGTTCAGAAGAAGAGGTGCATAGATAGCAAAGTAGACTAGGAGAAGGGAGGGAAGAAATTATGCAAACAATGAATGAATTTGGTTTTTTTTTAATGAACTGGCTGGGTAGGGAAGAAAATATGCAACAATGAATGAATGAAATTCCAGCTTTTCTGTATACTTGCATTAAAATCACAATTAAAATGAAATCATTTGAGTTTTGACTTGATTTTTATCTCTTCAGGAAGGAAAGAGGAAGCAAGAACCAAAGCTAAGGCTAGAAATGTTGGCAGTGCCTTGGGACCTGATTGGCATGAAGGCTTGACTCTTAAAGGCACAAAAGAAGTATGTTTTCACATGTTGCTTAAGCTTATCTAAATGTGCTTTTAAATTTTTGCCCCACATGATAAAGACAAAATATAGTTAAAGATTGCAGGTCACTTTATTTAAAATCTATAATGTTAGGAAAGAACTTCAAAGCTATTTGACCAAGTTACCCACCAAAGAAGTGAATATTAAATTCATATAAAACTGAATATATTGTTTTTAAAGTCTCGTATTTAGAGGTCTTCATACCCAAACTTTAGTGAATATATCTCTCATACTTTACCCTTTCTCAAGAGTCATTTCAGATGCTGGTAGTAAACTTATAATAAGCAGAAGTGTGTAGAAGGAACTCTGGTGACATAATGGGTTAGGTGTTGGACTGCTAACCAGAAGGCCAACAGTTTGAATTTATCAGCCACTCCATGGGAAAAAGATGGGCACTTTTCTCCTACTAAGATTTACTATGCTCAGACACTTAATGGAGGATTACTATGAGTTGCTATAGCAGTGGCTTGGGGGTATTCACCCCTGTTGTGTTAGCTTAAAAGCTGCCTTTTCTAGCCATTATGTTAACCCTTGCTGGTCTCCAGCCACCTTAACTGCAGACACATGTCTTGCAAATCATCAACAGCTGTGGGACTTGAATAAAAGAAAGAGTGCTTCCCACACTGAGCAGCAAGACTTGAGAGAAACCAGAGTAAGAGTGAGATCCTGTAGATGGTGGTGGAGAGACTGTGGTATTGCTATGGAGAAACTGTGGCAAGGTATAACCAAAGGAGCCCTGAAATAAAGGCCACAATTAAAGGTTATATGGTACTTGCTATATGATTGAAGGAGAGACTGACTGATAACTGCTGTGAAGCAAACCTTGCTGAATGATTTGGATTTCGGTGCTGAACTGAAACCAGGACTTTTATGAATTAAGGAATTGTGTTGTGCTGTTAATCTGGCTTGGCATTGCTAGACTAAACCTGGATTTGTATTGTAAGATAGTCTTTTCCTCCCCCACTCCCTAATCTATTTTCCTTAATAAACCCCACTCTTGATACAACAACTATGAGTAAAGTCTGTGAGTCAATCGCAAATTTTGAACACATATGCTGGGTAGAAATAGATGCAGGAGCATGGGTGGTAGTGTGTCTGATTCAGCAGCTATTTGCTGCTATGAAGATAGTTCCCTTTTTATGAAGCAGATAGAAGCCATACTTGGCCACTTCCACATTGTCCCATCTACTCTTTTCATAATTTTTTTCAAACTTTTTTTTAAGAACTATGTATAATATTTAAATCTTTTTCAGAGTATACATGCAGTCTTTTCATTACTGTGCATGATGTCTTTAAAGGGTTTTAGTCTTTCTGGTAGATGGGGAGAGGGCTGACTTCACTTAAACTAATTTTTATTAATGAACTTACAAAAAATGTATTTTTCTGTCCCTTTAGATCCTAAGATTAGTAGTATTATTAACCAGAGAGTTTCAACAATTTACTGGATATGGAATAGAATAAATCGACATTGTGACATTGCTCTGCAAGGGAATTTTTCTCTTTTGCTTTCATGCATAGAAATTGAGATTTATTTCTTTTGGATTCTCTAATATACTCTCATTTGGTTTTTGTTGTTGGGTTTTTGTTTTACTTTTCACTAAAATGGTTAAGTTCCAAAATTCAGGTCATTATATAAGACATTATACAAATATGGAGAATGACCACATCAAATCACAAAAAGGAAGAAAACAGCATCATCACATAATTGCCAAACCACTAAGAACTGGCCCAGCCAAACTGATACATAAACTTAAGCCTCACAGCCAGTGTTACTCTGTATTTCTTACTGCCACATGTACATCATTAACATGCAAAATAGTTGGTAGATTTTTTACTATTGCTGTTAGAAATATCTCATTGGATAATGAAATAGTTGATAAGCACTACAGAGAGGTATATTGCATTGAAACCTGTGAGAATCAGAGTAGAGTGGGGCCTTGCTTCCTAGGTTCATGTTTTCTACACTTGACAGGGTGCAGATTTGCCAGTTTTCTATAGCCCTATTAGTAGAAAATATTTCCGTTTTTTTCCTCTGACAGGTTCCTGCCTTATACAGGTTCTAGTTTTCACAGGTTTTACTGTATAAGAACTTTTTTAATGTATCTACAAGTAATTTTATTACATATTTCCTATTTGTCTTCCACAACCCAATGCATTCTCTCTGGAAGTGTGATGATGACCAATATTTCTTTAATTTAGTTTTCTCATAAGGTTCACATTGAAACTATGTGTGAAGTAAAGAAAATCTACCTTCAGGAAGAATTTACAAATTTGAAAAAAGAGTCCTTGACTTTTCCAAGAGACCATCATGATAAATCTGTTAAAAGCACTGATAAAGGTAAGTAATGACTCATGAACAAGTGAATGGATAGAAAAATTATGGTATATTCCCACCATAGAATACTACCTACCACTGAAAACCAAGGAATTAATAAAATATTATGCAACATGTGTGACCCTGGAGGACATTATGCTGAGTGAAATATCTTAGTCAAAAAAGGACAAATAAAAAAAAAAAAAAAAAAAAGGACAAATAACATCACTGTTATAAAACAGGACTGAAATGGGGGGTTGGAGGGAAACTGAGAAAAGGGGGGATAAATGATGAACACTGCATTGGAACAGGTGAAGGAAAGAAGAGTTTAAAAGGAATATACTATACAGCAGCACACAGGAGTAATGATTTTGTAAATTACTACCTATCTTAGGAGGGACTGGACAGCATTATGCTACTTAGTCTCACAAGGAAACATTGTATAAAACCATTATTGTAGAATGAGTATAAGGATCCATGGTGGGGGTGGAAGCAGAGAGATGAGGATGTGCAGAGGGAGGGAGGATTAATCGTGAGGTTGTACAATTTGATGGCTGTGAGAGTGAGGAAAATTGAAAGAGTTTGATTCAAATTTTAATAAACTAGTATTTTTTTTTAAAATGTAAAAAAATCCTTTTAAAAAAGTAATATATGATTAGGCATTATCTGTATGAAAATAGTTCAAAATAAGAGGAGCATGTAAAAGTGGACTGGGTGAGTAGGGGAGAAAAAGGAAATTATGCAACAATGAATTTCTTTTTTAAAAAAAGGGAAGTGGGGGTGAGGAGAAAAATAGGCAATAATGAATGAATGAAAATCCAACTTTTCTGTAAACTTTTATTAAAATCACAATAGAACGGGAGGAAAACTAATAAAAACATACAGCCACTTGTTTAAAAGAAAATAACTTCATCTTACTAAATTATTTTTTAATTTCAAGTTTCACAGATAAAAATTTATATATGAAGAAAAAGAGAAAACTAAACTCAATAATGGTGTTCAGAGTCTCTTCTGACATCTATTTTGGTCTTCTGTCTTTGCGATGATCGTTTTGCACTCTTCCTGGATGATACCTTGGTATCCTCCCACAGCTCATCTGGTCTTCGCTCATTAGTATTTAAGGCCTCAAACCTGTTCCTGAGATGGTTCTGAAATTCAGGTGGGATAGACTTAAAGTCATATTTTTGTTCCTGTGGATTTGGTTTAATTTTCCTCAACTTCAGTTTGAACTTGAATATGAATAGGTGGTGGTCTGTTCCACGGTCAACTACTGGCCTAGTTTTCACAGCTATGATATTGGGCTTCTCCAGTGGTTCTTTCCGCAGATGTAATCAATCTGATTCTTATGCATACCATCAGGTGAAATCCATGTATATAGGCTGTGTTTATGTCTCTTAAAAATGTATTTGCAATGAATAAGTCATTGATTGTGCAGAATTGAATCATTCTCTCTCCAACTCCATTTCTGTCACCAAGTCCATGTTTTCCAACTACTGAATCTTCTTCTCTGTTCCCAACTTTTGCATTCCAGTCAACCATTATTAGCAATGCATCTTGATTGCATGTTCAATCCATCACCGACTGTAAAAGTTGGTAGAAATCTTCTGTTTCCTCTTCCTTGGCTCTGGTTATTGGTGCATATATCTGAATGATAGTGGTATTCACTGAACTTCCTTTTATGCCAAAACAGAAGGAAGAATTCAAGATACTAAAGAGCTGAATAGAAGATTTCAAAAGGCAGCACGGGATGACAAAGTAAAATATCACAATGAAATGTGCAAGGAGTTGGAGTCAGAAAATCAAAAGGACCAGACTCGCACAGCATTTCTTAAGCTCAAGGAACTTAAGAACAAATTCAAACCTCAAGTCCTATAATCAAGGATGCTTTAGGCAGAATATTAAATGATCCAGGAAGTATTAAAAGAAGATGGAAAGAATATACTGAGTCACCACTTGGCAGACAGAGAAGAATTTCATGAAACAACATATGAGTAAGAGCCTCTGGTGATGAAGGAAAAAGTTCAGGCTTCTTGGAAGGAAATGGCAAAAA